GCTCGCCGACCAACTCGCTGGCGTAACGCGGATTAGCTAAATGTGCCGCAAGCGAACCGCGAAAGCTCTTCCTTTTTTGCCGTGCGAATCACAGCACGCCACGCGAGGCTGCTGCTCTTTTTGCTTCTTTTTCTTGCGCAAGCTCCTTTCAGCTTCGATTCGAAGAAAGAAGCTTCCGCTTGAATCGCACCGTTGTGTCGTGCGACACGCGAGCCGCGCCTCCATTCCGTTGCCCGTTCAAGTTTCGACTATTCTTTTCGTCGTCATTTCAAAGAGATCAATATTGATCCTACGAAATCGGATAATAAACGATAAAGCGGAATAAATCGACAATATTGCTACTTTCACTTTCAATCAGGGCTGTGCTTTACATTAATTATGTAATCACTGCAGCAATCGGTATTTTGTATTCGTTTGCGATTATACCAGCATCGAGTTTGGCGTTAACGCAAATATATCTAGTATTAGAAAACGCCGATATTGTTTAATCTAATTTATACACTAAAGCGACAAAGATAATATCAATAAATAGCCGACAAAAGATAGTTTTTATTGCAAATTATAATACCATAATGTTGAATGTTTCACGTGAAATGAGACGTAGTTACATTTAGCAAATGTACAATAGAGATATGTTATCTTTACCCACTTTAAATTACAATACGGAGGTCTAAATGGCATTAGCTTTCACTTTCGTTAATATCTTCGATCGATCGATCGATAATTTTCCAGTAACGCCGAAAGGTTTAAGATATTGATTTTTAATGTAAGCATGTATACTTGTTTTAATATCATATACTTTTTCCAACTATAGATATTTTAATCACAGTGTGTCGATTTTCGTTTCCAACATTTACAGAAATATTTTCACAATTATCACTAAATGTCCACTTTGAAATTATTTGTAAGAAATTTACGTATATTAATAAATAATATACAAGTATTAATAAACAAAAAATTGAAAATTAATTTTTATTTGTGGAATACAAGAACAAATGCAAAAAAATCTTGAAATTTGTCCTATTACAATATTTCAGTAGTTTTATTGTCGAATTTCTAAACATGTTGATAATTGACTTGCTTCTGTAGAAATTACAATTTCATATAGATAAAGTTCATATTGAATGAAAAATAACAGTTTAACAAAAGAAAATGAGATTTTTTTTTTAATTTATACAGTCGCTGACACTTAATTCCGCGCTGTTCCATTTATTTTATAATGTATTATCGCGAATATACGATAATACATTTTACAATGAAATCTAATGGATTAATTTCTAGAATTGCCCCTCCGAGAAACGCTATTTAGTACATTAGGAAAAAAAGAGATTCTAATTGCTCGGATAATGCCGCGTTTTTTTTCTGACTCGAATATGAAAATGGTAACTGCTGTGATATTCAATCCGCCATTCAGCAGACGTAATCTTGTCAAACATTGATACAGCCGTGCGCGCGACGTGTCTTATAGAGACCAGACAATTTAACGAGACTTTCAGGCAAAAAGCTCACTCTCGTTGAATCGTAATGTCGGATAATGTGGCGAGAATGAATCACATCGATTCGGCGAGCGCGAAGGAAATATTTACTTCCGCGAGAAAAGCGCACGCTTCAAACTTTAGTCGGGCCGAAATGTTGAAGCAAAAACTGTCGGACGAGCCAAAATTTTATTTGATCATCCGACATCATCATCCCTATCAGCGTTGATAAAGGCGACGTTCAGCGTTATTCCAACGAGATTAAAAACACTCGCCCGCTAACTGGACGAAGGTGAGTTAATCTAAAAAATTTAAGGGGATGAATTATTATATACGCGAGTAAGTTCGACGAATACGAAACTTCATTTACTTTAGAGACTCCATTTACTCGATTCAAATTCTATAGTCGGTGGGTCAGCTCGACTTTGCATAACAACGCTTCGACGCTTTTCAATCTTGGAACAGTAGCGCGTACATGACAATACAAATCGCAGGGTGTTTTCTTCGAAACCGGAGAGATTTTCAAAAAGCGAAAAGATATAAAAGAAATTATCATTACAGACGAGAATATAATAAAAACGTCTAATTCTAGAGTCACAAAGCGAACAGACGTGTCGACTTAATGTCAAAAGAGTTATGTGTGTGCGAATTTAATTAAAAATTATCACGCAGAGAGTATTAAAGACAAAACATTTTACTTCGCAAGCACTTTGTCATTAACGAATACCTATTACCTTCAACTGTGTTTGAGAGAGAGAGAGAGAGAGAGGGAGGGAGGGAGGGGAGAGGAAGAGAGAACCTTTTTAAAAATGTAGAATATCTTCAATTGTGTTATCATTGAGAGAGAAAAAGAGAAAGAGAGAGAGAGATGGAGGGAGAGAAGCTTTTTAATAACACAGTAATCATTGTGATTCCGGTTCGAAATAAAACACATTGTGACTGTAGAATTAAAATAACAAATATTTGTATTCTTTAATTGAGAGTAATTGTAAAATATTCCGCTCGTCATTGTCTCCATCACGCATTTATCATCGTGGCCTCACTTATTTTCTTTATACCATCTTAATTTCTTAATTGTATATTCTGTTATTTTTTTATTGAAATCGGAACGAATTGACACTCCGTAGTCAAAATTATAATAAACGAAATGCAGCCTGGATCTGCCATTTGCACACGTTTTTTTCGACTTCGGTTTACCTTTAAAGCTATCGGCTAAGTATACTTAAATTGAAAGGCTACAGTACACTCCCCCATTCTCATTCAATGGAATCCAAACCGAACTTTTCGCTGCGCGATGTTTCTAGCCTCTGTCGGACATTGCGCAGAAATCGACCTAATCGATACCTCGTGCGGCGGTAGGAAGAGTCTCGCTGTTCTCTACCGGAGACACGTTCGAAGTGTCCTCGAATATTCCTTTAAAGCGACGGTTTACTCAGAAAGGAGGACGATGAGACGAAGGGAAACAGCTCGAGAGCCGGAACGTTTTCGAGATTTAACGCGAAATACGAAGGAATGAGAGATGTCGGGATGTCTGTCAATTTTGAAAAATTGCGCGTCGCGTATATAAGTGGCCGCCATTAGAGATAGCTCCATCCGTGACGACGGCGAACGTATAAGATATATCTTTTTGATCATATATACGTGAGGCAATGCCAAGTATTTGGCAACTACCGGTCCAGTTTATGTACTAAATGTACGAAAAAAATGTTTCGTTACTAATAACCCAATCATGTATTTTGCTCCATTACAAAATTATTTAACTATTCAATTAACTAATATAAACAAGAAGAGAAAAAAAATATCCCAGGTAGAACACAGAAATCCAGAACACAATAGATAGAACACAAAAAAATCTGCAGAAATATTGCTACAACGTTTGCAATGTTACCGCAATATTACTGGAACAAGGTTGGTTGCAAGGTTGCTGTAAATTCTGTGTATATTTGGAGTAATATGACGAAGACATCATCATTTGTTACTTTATTTATCACTCATAAATTCGCTCATAAATAATAAATAAAGTCATAATAATGTTCTATGGTATATTATTGTAACTCTTGTTTTATCCGTATGAAAAAAAAGGTGCTAAAGTACTTAAAAAAATTTAGCTAGATACGGATCTGAAAACAATTTGTTAGACTATTAAAATAATGATGTGAGATATTCAAGTACAAAATAATTATGTGAGATATTCAAGTACAAAATAAAAGTACAAAATAATTATGTCAAGTACAAAATAATTATGTACGATATTCAAGTTGGTTGCTGGAATGTTAAAACTTTTTACAACATTGATTATTTGCTATCATGCTTGAGTTTCCTACAAAATTATTTTGATAGTCCAATAAAATTATGGATGTGTGTGTGTGTGTGCATGTTTTCCAATTTTTATCTACCTAAATTTTTAGATAATTTAGCAAAATCGTTCTTTCCGTATAGATAAGTGTAATTAATTGTCGATCTGAGACTTTATTCGCAAAAAATATCACACCATATAAAAAATTAGTCTAATATATAGCGCAGGAGTTTGCAGCAACATTGCAATATTATTGGAACGTAGCAATGTTGCTGCAATATTGCTAAGATATGATTTGTGCTGTACGGGATGCATTACGTATATTACAGATTTCCGAATAGATTCAAGAATAGGTCTCCTAATCGCAAGTCACGTGAGATAGTGGGTCGCGATGGATATATCGGCAGAACGAAATCGTAAGATAGTCGAGAAACAAACGAGAGGAAGAAAGAGAGTCTCGGAGAGAGGATATGCGCGAATTGCAGTCGAGCGAACGCGGGCGTAGCGTGCCACGGACACGACATAGATACCGGCCCTTGGTTACCGCTCATCGGGTAGCATCACGGCAGCTCGCAGATTAACGGAGAGAAAGAGCTGGAGCCGTGAGAGAGGGAAGGAGAGAGGCAGAGGGAAGAGAGAGAAGGGGAGGAATGATGGAAAATATGTCGGCGAAGACGAGCAGGCGAATACGACGATATATCGGCGGCAATGGAAGGAGACAAAGAGAGGAGAGACAAGACAAAGGAACAACGAAGGCAACCCGGTGGCGTACAAAGGAGGGTAGCAGGAAGAAGGAAAGCGCAGGAGCAACGTGGAGGAGAGGAAGAGAGAGAGAGAGAGAGAGAGAGAGAGAGAGAGAGATAACGCGGCAACGGTAGGAGGAGAGTGACGCGATGGAGGTGGACAGGCTACGGCGGAGGAGAAGGATGCGTGGAGTCGCGGAGGATAGGCACACGCGCGAATCGATTAGGTGCGCGTCGGCCATTTTGTTGCCGGTTCGCCGGGCGGCCGCGGAGGCGTGGATCCCGGACGGCGTCGACTCCGCCGCGAGGACGAATCGTTCGCTGTCGCGCGCCGCTCTCTCGCGTTCGATAGGAACGCACGAGTCCGTGGTGGGAGCGAGCGAGAAATGATGGAGATGAGCGAGAGGGAAATAGAGTGGATAGTGGGGATCCGGCAGTGGGATCCGGTTAGGTTGGGTTGGATTCTCCAGCAGACTATAGCGAGACACCTAACTGGCAGTCAGTGGCTCCCGGGGCCCCGCGTCGTCAGTCTCGTTGGAGTAGTTTCGTGTAACCGCGGCGTCTCTCTTCTCCTTTCTCTCTCTTTCTCTCTCTCTCTCTCTCTCTGTCTCTTTCACTCCCTCCCTTTCCATCTGTCTTTCTCTTGATGCCTGCCCTTTCTCTTTCTCTTTTCACCTGCCTCCCCTCTTATCCCTTCGTCCCCTTCTTTCCTCTGATTTCTATACCTTTCTTCAAACCTCTCGTTCAGCTTCTGCTACAATGATTGTTTCTTTCGTTTGCCCTTATCATTGTCTGTTATCGTTCGATTCATCTCCCCAAAGGTTTCAGTAACGGAATATTCATTGTTACAACGCGCCACTTTTCGCCCGGCATTGCTGATGAATGACGTAATCGTGTATTCGAAATTCCGATAAGGGACCGCAAGTAGCCGATTTCGGAGCCAGTTACTCCAACAAAAACTCGATCGCAGAGATCTAGAATGTTCTTCCAGTTCTGTACAGTCATTGATCATGTCTATGATCGCATTTACATCTGATAACCACGAGAAACCTCTCGTCGAACTCGCAAGATAAGTTTCGCGACATTCAAAGAGTGCGTGTCGAAGTGTGGTGATTCGACGGAGATCCCAAAGAAGAATCGGAGCAAGAAGATCGAGTGGAAAAACCGCGAAAGAGAGAAGTACCAGGTGAACTGAGGGAACTCTCGACGAAGCAAGAGGTCGTGGAAATATAAAAAATAACAAATTAGCGAATAAACTTTCAACGAACCAAGGAGTCGCGAAGGTGTTGGTTGAACTGGACGGGTGATAAGCCGGAACAACAGACGGAACGCCAATTACACTCGGTAGAGATTGATTTAACTGCCTTCGAAATTCGTCAAAGTTTGTCAACAAATGTTTCGAACATTTATCATTTCGAGATGAAACAATAATACAGATCACCATTACATTACGTTGATATTGTGTGGTTCGTTGAAAAGCTTATCTGGAGACACGCGTGATTTTTTGCTTCTAAATTGCATAAGAATTGAGTTTTAATCCGATGACGTAGTAAAGTAGCAGGAAAGTCTGAAACTCTTGTATCTTGTATCTAACGTGTTGTACGTGTCGGGGTTGTACGATTCGACCCCCAGTGAGCTTCGGAAGCGCGCTCTGAAGGTAGCAGACACGTCGGGCCGAAGTTTCGCGAGTTTAAAGAGTACGGCCGGTGGTCGGCGTACGAAGGCTTCAAGATTGCTCGAAAACCGTCGCGCGAGGTGCGCAGGAGTGGCAGAGCTGCGGAAATAGGGGCTGCCGGCGTGATGCAGCGGGTGGGCGCAGCCGGGGGGCCCGGGCCCATCGGCTTTCAGGGCCCTCCGAGATCGCTGAAAATTTCACCGGTCAATATACAGGACGAGCCGGCCGATCCCACGCAGAGTAAGTACCACTTGAGCTGTTCTTTTCTCTACTTTTCACGCAGAGATTTGAAATATTGTTATGCGAAGAAATACATCCCTCTTATTGTCAAATTTACAAACGAAACTTATAAATTCATTCAATTTTAAAATCTGTAGACCTGACATGGGTCTATTGAACTGATACAATTATATCCTTTCGGAGTTGACAGTTCGGATTGGTTACCCACTGCAGTGATTGTTTGAATAACAAAGTTGAGTAAAAATGACTACCTTCAGTAGAAAAAGTACCTTTACAAATGTCGTGCATGCTTTAATATTCGTCTTCCTTGTCGAATTCCTTCACTGATCTAACTGTATAAACTAAAGATATTAAAGAATTTCACAATAATTGCAAAACCACTTTTTCTGCTGAACGCAATCATTAACTCAGCTTTCTCCATGAAGTAATATTAAGAATACATTATTATATAATTGAATCTACTATTAGTTCTGAAATCTTGTATTGTTGTAGCAATCGCCATTTTACAAAAATGTCAAACAATTCAATTTTCTTTATGTTACATCTGCAAATTTGAATTATTCTTATTAAAATAAATTTAGTATTCATTCTTTTTTATATGAATTACATCATGTTGGTTGCTTCGAATTAAATAATGCCTTTTGATCAACATACATGTTATTATTTTAAATTAATAACGGAGCAATCAATTTACAACTTCGTCGATTTTTTTTTTATTCCATAGAGAGTTTTGGTTATTTCTTATTTTATACAGTTGATCAGTCTGACTTCCGAAAGGCTCATATGATACTAATTGTAAAAGGAGGCTATATAAAGGAGGTTCGCGACGCGAAGGAACAAATTGCCATTTTATGTCTCTCATAAAGTAAGCTTAATAAAAGCATAAAATCTGTACGAAGCAAGATAGACGCCACTAGATGTGCACAATAATACACGTTCTAAATATAAAAATAATGAAATGAGACACGCCGATCACACAAGATAGGGTATTTTCCACTCCTTCGATCTCACCGATCTTTATTCGTGAAACTCGCGTACATGTGCAACGAATCGTTTTAATTTTCGTCCAGAAAGTGAATAAATCTCGTCGTGACTGACTCGATTAATTCTACATTGCAAATAATCTTGTTCGATTGAAACCGTTTTTTTTTAACGATAATGGTAATTTTTTTCTATCAATTAACTACAATTTGCACGGTTTGCTACACCGTCACTGTTTAAACGTTTAAAAAACTCGATCGCTTGAAAATTAGTTTAACGTATCACTTCGTTGCGCGCACATCGTAATTAGATGGCCAAATAATCCTCTCGTATTCATTATTTATCTATGTTAGCGTAAATCAGAGGACAAATGTATTAAATATGAATAATAGATATCCGATATATATATATATACATAATTATTTATACAGTTAAAAATTATTATTTAAAAATATTTTTATATTTTAAAATATATACTTTTAATACCTTCAAATATTTAGCTGCAGTTTTCATGATTTAATCTTGTCATTTATATATTCTACTTTTAAAAAATTTACTATTATTTTCTTGATGTTCGTAATTGTCAAAGATATGCGAGTAATGCAATCTTAATAATAAAACGCAATAATTTTACGATTACCTTGTGTTAAACTATAGTATAGGTACCTCTTAGATTTGAAATAGCAAAGAGCGAAAAAAAGGATTCGACGGCAACGATGAATATAAAGTCCCGAATGATTAGATTGAGTGTCTTACGTTTAACGCAAACTGCACGCACAAATTATGCTAAACTATTACACCATAGCCAAATTGTTACACGCAGCATGTTGAATATTTTTGCCCGAGTGCCATAAGAATGCGAAACGGCCTCCTTTCACGATGTGACGTCATTACAATTTTGTTGGCATTGAAATTACCGGGAAGTCGTCGTACGCGTGTCTAGCCATGCAGGTGAATAAAATCTTTTTGTCGCGTGATAAGACGGCAGTTAAAGTCCACGTGATTTATGAGCGATGACTTCTCGCATTGCAGCGCGAATCATAAAAAGATTGCACTCTCAGCATACGCAAAAAAAAAAGGAAGAAAGAATAAAAAAATCACTAATCTTGGATCCACGAATACTTTTCGAGCAATTTATAGTTAATGAAGTACATTTGTGGTAAATAAACCTTGGGACATCGTGCATTACTAAAGACGCATATCGTCTACATATTTTTCGACGTAATATTGACCATAAGTCAAGGATAGATGGTCGCAAGCAGGACAGGCAAGGATAACGGACGTGAAACCTGTTAATGTGCTTGTAGAAATGCGCGATCGACAAGATCAATCGTTAATTATCTTGCCGCTTAAAAGCGATCATAGAAATGCCAAAACATGTCTAAGGGAACTTTGATATAATTTCCATCATTATACGTTATCGCTGTTCATCTTGTCGAAATACTCTTCGTTAATGTGGCCAAAAATCTTCATCGACACGCTGTATGCTAATGTTACGTCGCATGCATAATGATAATGTTAATCCAAGATGCAAATTACCGCAGCAATGAACGAGATTCTTTATCATTTAACATATTTCTTTGTTACATTATCGGAAAAGCTTCTCCTAAATATCTGCCGATGACAAACGTCGTAATTCTAAATTTCAAATAGAATTAAAAACAATTATTGTCTTCCAAATTCTGGCATTCAGAGGAAAACCTCATCACACTACAACGATTACATTCAAGTTATATTTTTTGTATTCAAACTTCATTATTATATCATTTATTGAGAGAAAAGTATTTAATATTCGTGATTTTAATTACATGGAAAAATAATTATGGTTAGGAACTTCATTTTTATAGTTATTATTGCTGTAATAGTCAATAATAACAATTATATTCATAATTCTGTATAAAAATAATGTACGGTTATCCCCAAAAGCGACCATAAAATTATAACCGTTTAACATTACAGCAGTAATAACTATAAAACTGAAGTTCCTAACTATAATTATCTTACCGTGTAGTTGCAGTCACAAATACTAAACACTTTAATTTCTCTCTGTAAGATAGCATCTCCTCAAGTGCGCAAACATTATATACGTTAAATAGAACTCAAGTTCGTAGTAATAATGATCAACTGTATAATTTTATCAAATGTCAATACCGAGCAAATATAAATTATTAAATTTAATAACTATAACAACTTATTAATTTGATATTTAACAACTTATATTTGTTCGATAATGACTTTTGATTGAATCATAGGTCAAGATTATATACGTTGTTTCCAGCACCTCGTGCTATATTTAGAAACTAAACTAATATAAGAATGATAGAAAATTATAAAAAAAAAAAAGAATTGCAAATAAAAAGAAATATGTAACACCAATAAATATATGGAAGAGACAGAAAAAAAGAAGAAAGAAAGCTCAATTTTTACTTCGCCAATACATCGATGATTTCGATCTTGGATATAAAATTTATAGTACTTATCATTAAATTCGGAATGGGAATATGTTTGATATTACGTTATATAACCCGGGGAACTTATCGTTGTACGGTATAGAGTGAATGATGTCGCTCACGCAGGAGTCGGCGAGCCTTTTCCACGTGCAACCGTGTGCTCGTGTGCTCATTTATTATTAACGCGAGTTATCGCATTTTCATAATCGGATACATGGAATATTCAACGGCGCGAAACGATTCGCCGATGATTTTCTGTAATTAAATGTTACAGTATTGCGTTTAACACGTGTTTTTCGCGCGCGCGCGAGCGTGCGATCCGACGAAGTCGCAATTATCGCGGGGGCAACATTAATATCAGCTGTATTTATCACTTATAATTATTGCGGCGCTATATTATTCGCGAGAAAGAATGGTGGAGTGCATGCACGATCGCACGAGCGCGTCAATGATACGATCGCGGTCTTTAATTTATGCTCGCGATTAATTCGATAATGTGTTCAATGAGACGGATGAATAATTAAGTCGATGACCGCGATGTAGGCACTGCCGAGAACAAAGAATAATTCAATTAACGGAATTGCGAGATCGTAGTAATGCGAGCTCGCAGTGTAATCTCGATACGAGACCAATGTTCGATGCAACATGAAAAATCGATGTGAAAAGAGATCTGTGTTATTTCATACCATCTCGATGTCTCTTTTGACGAATAGACATAGTTCCGTTAATCGGAACACTTGATGCTTGAAAAAACTTCGGCAAACAAAAGTCTCTGGCTAAGTTTAATGGATATTTCAACTCATCTCAGTGATATCTTAAATTTGCAACACAATGAATAAGTTTAGGTAATTAGATTTTTTGATATTGTGTGAAAAATATTCAACTTTATTGGCTAACAAGGTGGTTATAATCGAAATTTCAGTAACTAATCGAAGTATGAAATACAGTGATTGTAAATGAAATTTCGTGAATTTGCTAGATTCCTTTGTTTCCACCTGACCACATAATACATTCTTTAATTTAGTTACGCAATCGAAAGTAGGTTCAGTGTTATAATTCAAGATTAGGCTGACGAAAATATAAATTAATTAAAACAAATAATCCTATTTTCGGGTAAAGCGGATCTTAATGCTTAATAATACTGATATACAAATTTTTGCAAATACAACTGAAAAAAAAATGTATTTACAAAAATTTGTATATGAATATTATATTAAGCACTAAGATCCGCTTAGATCGAAAATAGGATTACTTCTCTTAATCAGCCAGTTTTTCTATATATTTCCAACATTTTGATAATCGCTTCCGATAATCAAAACGCGGAAGAGAATAGTTACATCAAGGTCTTCTTCGAAGAACGAAAAATATTTTCTACTTCGTGCGAATAATTTACTGTAGCAAACAGTTTATTTTTTAAACATAAGTAAACAACGTTTTTTCTTGTAAACGTCGTGCCATATAATAAATGTAATAAATAAAGTAGATAGTATATAATGAACATAATAAAACATCGAGAAAACTGAGAAAAATTTACTCGCATTACTTACCGCGGTGACCGTCAGGAATGCA